GTCCCTCTCCTCCTCCATGGCTGAAAATACCGATCACTGTGCACTTTTCCGTCTGTATTTTGTTTGCGCCGCGTCATTTTGAGCAATAGAACGACCAGCATCCCCTGGCAAATGGGATAACGGACAAGCACGTGTGGATTAAGCCAGTCCTTTACATCGGTGTATTTCTGGAATCCCCGAGGCACTTCCGTCAAAGTAACGTGCACATTGATCAAAGCTTCCGTGTTATTGTGATTATGAGGGATGCCGAGCGCGCATTGCACACTGCTCGTTAAATGCTGTGCTGCAAAGCAGCAGTTTGTAATCATTGCAAACTCTCTGCTCGTTCACAATGATAAGCTTGTAAAATTTTGCTGAATTAGTATTAAAATAAAGATGAGGAGGTCAAAGTTCATGAGTTCATAGTTGGCCTACAGATGAGGACAAAGTTCAAAAAGCTTGCTTTCAGTGTTTCGGAAAACTGGCTACGTCATAGCTGTGATAAGAAAATCGATCTTTAACTTGTCTAAATTTCACCACCGTAAAAGTTTCTCCTATTGAAAGCTTTTGGATCCCGATATCGACTAACCGAGCGAGTTTGATACTCTGACTTAAAATAAGATAAAATATTTTTATGTTAAAAGTGTTTTGGAAGTTTTTTTTTTTTAAAAAAAAAGGGAGGAAAATCATTGAAAAATGTAAACTATGGATATTTGTTTGGCGCTGTAGGTCAGCCAGTGAAAAGGACACAGTCGAATATAGTCAACTGTGGGAAAGCAGTGAGTGCTAATTCAGATACCCAGATAAGCGAGCCTGTATGTGCATTAAAAGGCGAACTAATAAAATTCATACAAGGAACTAGAATTACGCATACTGCATGCGATTTTAAAATTACATAGGCGCTGTTGGTTAGAAAAGTACTGTATTTTCAGGCAGCATATTAAGCACTCAGGAAAGGTCCATGAGGCAAAAGAACCAGGAGGCAAGCTCGAAGTTAAAAGAAGTCAAAATTTTCGGGCTCGAAGTCAAAATCCCTTCTGTACTGCAATTTCCCTCCTCACTGTTTTTCGGGCCATATGAAAAATCTAAACTAGAACGCACCAGGCGACCGGTGTGATTATGCGTTTTTGCACTTTTAGTGCCGCAGCAAGATCACAGTAACTAACTCTGTGATATACTGGCCCTCGAAGTTCGGGAAGTTAATTGTGCAACTATGTGGTATGTCAGTTGTAGATGTCGACTTCAGTGGCCCGACAAATTGAAAGTTGCTAGGCCGTAAAAAAGCAATTACTAAAACTCGGCTCGGCTGGTGTCTTACACGATCAGCCAAAAATTTTTTGTGTGGAGG